TTTCCTGGGAGCCTGGTTATATAACCCATAGCAATGTTTCCCCACCACCAGTGGAAGATCTGTCACCTGGTCACATCATGGCCTTCTTGGTTGGTGTCAGGACACCCAGTGATGTTTGTCCAGACAGCAAAGTCTCCTAACAACACATGCCTCAGAAGTATCACTGTGTGATTGCAATTGTGCTTCCTCTACCTGGCTGATAAAGACATCCATCCTGAAAGAGGAAATATATCATTCTTGAACCTACATGCTTCAAACAAGTTTTGGTTAAAGGGGGAATATGACCAGCCAGGATCATCTCATGGATATATCCTTCCAGACTCAGTTCTTGAGACATCTGTTTTGGCAAGAAACACTGGAACCTGTCCTCCCAGCATAGGCCTGATACCAAAGCTGAAGCCACAAGCAGTAGGCCAGATGACTGATCCACAGCCAGCAGCAGGGTACAGGGCTTGAGTACTGGAGAAAACCTAGTTGAGCCTCCAAACAAGAGGATCGGGTTCCCACCAAAACCCTGCAAGGAAGCTATGTTTTGATGTGTAAATTATAATCAAAACGGCAACTTGGGCTTAGAGCTGGACAAAATCAGGCATGCTGGCTTCTTCTGGTCATTCTGCCTCTCCATAGGGTAAGGGGGCCACTAAGCCAAGAAGAATTAGGTCAGATAAGAATGGAAAGAGAAAGTAGAAAGGAGGTTGAGCATGATAGAGCACACCTGTAATCCCCACTAGGGGAGGCATAGTAAGAAGATTGTGGTCCAAGACCAGTCAAGGCATAAAAGTGAGACCCTATCTGAATAATAACTAAAGCAAAAAGGCTGAGGACATGGCTAAATTGACCACCACCTGGAAGGCACTGAGTTCAAACTCCAGTACCACCAAAAGAATAAATAAAGGTGTGTAGGGCAAACTACTCTGTAAGTATAATGGTATAATGGCAGGTGTGTGTAATTCTACATTCATCCAAACACATAGAATGTGCAACATCCTACTTTTAAACCCTGGGCTTACGTGATGTGTCCTTGTACCATGCTAACAGACACATCTCTCTGGTGGGGGATGTGAAACATAGGGCTGAGATTGTACAGACTTCTACACTATTTTCTCAGCTTTTCTGTGGCTCCAAAGTCACTCTAAAAAAAATAAAGTTCTTTAAAAAGCGAGAGACAGAGAAGAGCAACAGGATGAGGACAGTAACGTGGAGGTAATGGCCACGCCCACAGAGGAAGAAGAGAGGGAAGGTGTGTGATTTCTTACTGGGGAACTTGACTTTCCTTGAGTTTTTTTTTTTTCTGAGACTTGAACTCAGTGCCTGAGCACTGTCCCTGAGCTTCTTTTGCTCAAGGCTAGCACTCTACCATTGGAGCCACAGCACCATTTCTGTCCTTTTCTATATAAAATGGTACTGAGGAATTGAACCCAGGCCTTCATGCATGCTAGGCAAGGTCCCAGGGACCTTGAATTCTGAACAACCTTTACCTCCTAGCCTGATACCCCTTGTGTTCCCTAAGACTCCCATGAACACACATCTAGCCTCTCCTTTGCTCAAGTGGGCACAGGGACATTTTCTGCTGATAAGAACTGAAGACACCAACCCCAGGCCCTGCCATCTTCAGGACAAGCCAGGGATCCAGGCTTAGCAGTGGCATCTGGGGACGGGGGGGGGCTGTTTTCTTAAAGTTCACTATCTATGAGATGACAGGATATTCACTTAGATTCCCTAGATAGACATTAATTAATTATTTTTTTATTAAAAACCAGACATTGCCTCATCAGAGTTCTATCCAAAGCAGCCCCCACTTCCTGGCAACCACAGTTATCTTTCTAGAAATGCCATCACTCCTCTGCTAAAATCATTTGAAATTCCCACCACATTCATTTCTTCTCCCTCTCTTGTTCTCATCTCACCTACTGCCAAAGGTTTTCACACAGGCCCTTGTTTGTTCTAGCATGCTAGGAAGACTACTACAGAGAGAGACTGGGGTGGCTTCCTTGACCATTTGAAGATGCTAGGAAGGTCACATGGAATCCCATGTGACCAGTACAGCCTTCTCCTGACTCAAATTGGGATCATCTTTGGTATGCACACCACCTGTTTCCTATCTCAGCCACCCATCTCCCCCTCCCATACTGCCATTTCTCTGCCACCTTCAACAAGTACCTCCCATTTCAGAAAATAAAGGAAATCTCAGAGCCATAGCCTCAACAGATTAAAAGCTGTAAATGGTTACTCCGGCTCTCCTCCCCTCTACCCACCTCATTCCAGTCCCTGAAACCAGAAAAAAACACCTGCTCCTGAGCCTGGTCTCCAATGTTCCTTCCATGTTTGGTTGGTGGATGTCTTGCTTTCTCTCCAGGGCTTAGTGACATCTGCCCTGGTTTGAGCAATGGTGCCTTTCTCTTCTGACTCCTCGAACGCTCCTTTCCTATAGTCTTTTCCCTGACTGTCTGAAGCATTAAACACATGCACACGCACACGCGCGCGCACACGCACACACACACACACACACACACACACACACACACACACTGCCAGCTGGTGCGGTGGCTCACGCCTCTAATCCTACCTCCTCAGGAGGCTGAGATCTAAGCCTCACAGTTCAAAGCCAGCCCAGGCAGGAAAGGCCGTGAGACTCTTATCTCCAATTAACTACTAGCAAACCGAAAGTGGCACAGTGGTCAAGTGGTAGAGCACTAGCCTTGAGTTGGAGCTGAGGAACAGCACCCAGGCCCAGAGTTCAAGCCCCACAACTGACAAAAGAAAAAAAAATTGCCTCCTCCATTCTTACTTTTTTATTGTCAAGGTGATGTACAGAGGGATTACAGTTACATAAATAAGGTAACAAGTACATTTCTCTTAAACTTAATTACCCCTTCCCTCATTTTCTACTACTTTCCCTACCCTCCACCCCTGCCCCCAAGTTGTACAAATCATTTCCAACCTATTGTCTTGTGTATATCGCTGATGCACTGGTTCCCCCTTGTCTTTGTCTCACCATTCTGTTGCTCCCCTTCCCTTCCCTAATTCAAATAAACATATATACAATACAATGGCACCAAAATCCAATACAGTGACAACAGGGGGTATACCATAGGGGGAAGAACATACAAAAGAAACAACAAATCACATAGTACATTAAAAACAACAACAACAACAAAGCTTCCATCAGAAAGAATGTCACCTCCCCATTTGTAAGGAAATGGAAAGACTTGGAAAAAAAATCATATTAAATGAAGTAAGCCAGACCCAAAGAAACATAGCTCCCATGGTTTCCTTTATTTGCAATAATTAGTGTACATCTAGGATAATCTTAGCAGATGAGCAGAATAGCTCAACAGCTATGTACGTATGACCATATAAGATGATGCTAAGCCCCTCCATTCTCGCTTCAGTCTGCTGCCCTTGGCTTCAATACCAACACAGCTCCAGCAGAAGTCACACCAGTGCCTTTCTCACTGGTAACTCCAGGTCTCAGGTCTCATGTCTTTGCTTAGATGACCTCAAGGGAACCTTTGACAACACTCACTGCTTCTTTTTCCATTTTCTTTAAATACTTGGTACTTTTTGTTTCTATAATGCTGCTCTTTGCCACTCTTCCCCTCAGGATCCTTCTTTCTCCTTGCATTTGCAAGATGCATCCTTGGTTGACGGTAATCTCTAGCCCTGCCCCAAGGTGTCATTTTCTACTCCTTCATAGTCATTTCACTTACTTAGAGGGGGACATCTATTCCACAGCTACTTAGACACTGCTACTTAGACACTGCCAAATACAAATTTAAATGTTCACTTTAGCCCTCTCTTCCAGGCTAGTGACAACTACCCACAGAGGGCCCATTCCCTGTCAGTTCTGCAGGCAGCTCAAGTTAACATAATCCCCAAAAGGAGGAAACTTGATTTCACCATTTTGCCCCCAGCTTCATCGTTCCTGGTGTATTCCCTATCTCAGTGAATGTTCACTATAATCACAGCTGGATCTAGTCATTGTCCAATAAATTACTCCTTTTTAATTTTTTTGTAGTACTAGGATTTGAACTCAGGACCTCACACAGTTTAGGTAGATGCTCTACCACTTGAGTCCCAGATCCCATTGTCTATCTATACTTTTAAAAATTATTATCTTGTGGGGCTGGGAAGGTGGCTCAATGGTAGAGCGCTTGCCTTGCATGCCTGAGGCCCTGGGTTTGATTCCCCAGCACCACATAAGAAAAAAAGAAAAAAGTCGGAAGTGGTGCTATGGCTCAAGTGGTAGAGCGCTAGTGTTGAGCTGAAGAGCTGACGGACAGTGCCCAGGGCCCACGACCAGACCCCCCCCCAAAAAATTATTATCTTTAAGTAGTTGTACAAAGGAGTTGCTACTTAACAAAGCAGTTCATGAATATATCTTGATCAATGTTACCCCTTTCAAAATTCTCACCCATCCTTCCCCTACCCAACCCTTGCCTCACTGTTCTTAATTTTGCAGGATATACATTCTATCTATACTTTTTGTGTCATTGTCCTGAGGCTTGAACTCAGGGCCTGGCGCTGTCCTTGAGCTTCTTTTTGCTCAAGGCTAGCGCTCTATCACTTGAGCCACAGCACTACTTCCTGCTTTTTCTGAATAGTTTATTGAAGGTTAAGAGTTTTACAAACTTTTCTGTCCAGGCTGGCTTCGAACCATGATCCTTAGATCCCAGCCTCCTGACTGGCTAGGACTATTGGCATGAGCCACCAGTGCCTGACTCTGTACTTGTGTAGGCTCCTTTTGTCTCTCTAATTTGTCTGCTATCTAAACAGGCATGGGCATGCTTGCTTGTTCTTCCAAGTTTCTGTGCACACAGTCATGATGGATTTCTGCAGAGAGGTCTTAACAGGTGCACAAGTAGGATCAAGGGTTTGAACTCCAGTCAAAACTGAGCTTACTTTCTAAGCTAGCCGAACAGAATTGAAGAGATTTTGTAAAGATGAGACAAAACAGAGCAGGGAGGCACGCGGGTAAGAGGGGCAGGAAGAAAACTCACCTTTACACTGCAAACCCTGCCGCAAGAGGCCCCAGAGCAAGGACCCACAGTGATCGCAGAAGGTGGGGACCTTGTAGTTGTGGATCCCAAATTTGTGGGGCATGTTGACGCTAAACCGCTGTGAGCCCACCTGCAGTGACAATAAAACATGAGGTCAGCAACCAGCTGACTTAGCTGGATCCAAGGCCAGGACTTAGGCTTAGCTATGGGAACCAAACAGGACTACCCTAGAAAGCACGGTCTGCTGAGCTCTGAGAGCTTTCCCTAGAGACAGAACAGAGAGAAGGTCCTTCCTGCCCAGCCTTCACCCCACCCCACCCCCATCATTGCCTGTGACATGGGCTGATTGGCAAGGCCAGGTTGCTCCCCTCTGGTACCTCAGGCTTTTCTGTAACTGCAGCATAGTCTGCAATGCATACCTCATCCTAGAGCCAGCCAGGAGAGGCCACCAAGTGCCTTCAATGCCGCTTTGTGCACAGAGGCCTTGCCTGGGCAGAATGGCTTTTAGCAGCACAAAGAAGATGTGAACCCAATGCAGTAAGGAGACTGGTTCTCAGACACCACACACAGTAATTCAGATGGAGATGGCTAATGGAGTGGTGGCTACTAAGGACACAGGAACAGGATGCTAGTATCACTTGCTTGAGATGCAGTGGCTTAACAATTAAATTTCTGGCTGGGTACAAGATTTCTGGGTTTATTGAAAACAGTTGAGCCCAGCCCACCTTAGGTTCCTAGCTTAGGTGCACTCATTTGTGACCCCTCTATTGCTACCTGTCAACCTCCCACTTGTCTTCTTGACCCCTCAAGATGAGTGAGACCAAGTCCTGTGCCCACTCTGTCTCAAGTCCAATCAGAAGATGGCATCCCAGGATATCCCCATAAGAATATGCATGTCAGCTTAAGGAAAGAGGTGGGGACGCTGTCGTGGGTAACCAGGCTATCTCTGCAGGGTTGGAAAGAGCAATAAGGCCCTCATTTGAGACCATTGGGGTCTCTCAGTTATCAAGGAGCAGTGACAGGAGGAGGAGGAGCACACATGAGAAAATACAGTAGAGCAGACAAAGAAGCAAACAAAAAGGCCACACACATGTAAGTGGACAAGTATGTACATACACTCCCCTACTGTGGAAGACGAACCCAAAGGGAGGAGCCAGACTCATGGAGAGCACAGAAGGAATAGAGAATGAGCATTGAGAGAATGAAAGGAAGAGACACAAAGGAAGATGGAGCATTTCTGGCTTGCTTATCACACTTACAAGTGCAGGAGTGTGGCCCTAAGTACTAACACATGTAGAGACAGACAGGGCAAGGGGCTGGACTAGTGCTGGTGCTGAGAAAAATCCAATGATCCTATCAGCAGAATACCTCTTTTGTTTAGTTGTGACAGAGTCTCCCAGTATAATCCAGGCTAGTCTCAAAGTTGCTATACAGAGCAAAGTAGTTTTAGATGGGGGTGGGGAGTACCTTAGATGCCTGGTATTGGGGTTTCATGTGTTTGTAGTACATATGCATGTACTGTGTGTGTGTGTGTGTGTGTGTGTGTGTGTGTGTGTGTGTGCACATACATCACACCAAAAATGGTTACTCAGAGGAATAAACACACAGGTTAGTCCTAAGTCGGGCAGCACCCAGCAAAAAGGCACACCCAACACTGCAACAAATCAGACACACTGACACTAAAGGAAACTGACCTCAGGAAGCACGAGGTAGTGGTGGATATGTCAGGATGACGGGCAATCTACTCCACCCTACCAAGAAACCCAGAGTGCTCCCCCACCCCACAGACACACATTTTCTGAGTCCCTGAAGTGTGTCCCTTGGGGCACATGGTAAATTTGGGAACATCTTATTGGAGACTTTCCACTGTTCAATATTCCAGAAGGACAGAAGGAAGCATTCGGTCACAGATTAAGTGAACGCAGTATATTTCAAAGCTCACCCTTCTAGCCCCACAATAGCATGAAGTCTTATAGGACCTCCCTTCCTGGAAAGTGAGGAAGAGCTTTAGAAACCTACAAAGGTTCCAGATGATGAGACTGAGATTCCAGATGTCCTTGAGGACAGGACCGGTGTGTTCTTTGCTCCCATGGGATATGACAACAAGGCCTGTCATATAGGAAGTACCCAATGGAGGAGCACCCATGAGAAGAAGTTAACAGCAAGGAAGCCACCTCTTCTTCCATTTTCTTGTAAAAGTAATGAGAACAAAGTATTAAGGGTTATACTGTTAGGTCAAATATTAGGAGACCCAAACTTTTAGCTTGTACTTACTTGTAAGCATAACAAAAAAGTTGGCAAATGATTGTAGAGCTCAAGACTCAGTTTGCCCTTTAGGAGCATGGAAGACTCCATTTATGCCTTGTTGTGTTTGCTGCTTTCCAGAGATGGTAGGAAAGCAAAAGGAGATACAGGAGGAGAAATGTCTTGGATACAAAGGTATTACTTAGCCAAATTATTTTTTTAAGAAGTGGGTAGAAGGCCTCCAAAATCAGAAAGCCAAATTATAAGCCTGTACTAGACCCAGGGATTCCAAGCCTTCTCAGGGTGACTTCCTTTCTGTCTTTCTCTTGGACTCTGATTCTAAGTAGCCTAGTGATTACATTTATTTCACCTAGAATTAAAAGTATACCCCTGAAGTCACCTGCTAAGGATATAAATAGCACCTGCACCCAGAGGCATACCTGCCCTCTCCCTCAGAAAAGTTTCTCAGTCTGTTAAAAATACTATCATTCTTCTGATTGCTCAGTGGGGGAAAATGGCTCCCATGCTGAGTTGTCAAGCTTCCTTATCCCTAAACATTCCTTCTGATGTTTGTTTCTAAATTTATTTATCTTTAAGTAGTTATGCAAAGGAGTTTCAGTTCAACACATCAACTTCTGAGTAGAATGCATCTTGATCAACGTCATCTCTTCCACTGTAGTCCTCCATCTCTCCCACTCACACCCAAGGTTTCTAAATTTAAGAGCCAATATAATGCAGCAGTCAAAGGCATTAGCACAGACCACAGGGATCTGAACGTGACTTAGAACAAGTCCTCTGACTCTTCTGGGCTTCTAGATTCTGTTCTAAGATGAAGATAATAAAGACTATCTACCTCAGCCAAGTTAAGGATTAAATGACATAAGTTAAAGTGTTGTGGTCTTTGCTTCATAAAGTAGACAACCCATAATGAATGGTGACTACTATTACTATTTTTACCATGGAAGTTATTTTTGCCTCCTAAGTATTCTTTGAATTGCTCTTTCTCTCTATTTCCCTACTAAAAACAAGGCTCCTTTTTGTATGCTATGCTTCTATCTCTGTTTATTACCTATGTGGGAGAAACTATGGAGTCATTATTCAGTTACTTAAGGGTTCTTAGGAGATATTGAAATAAGAATTCATATTTTCCTTGTGACTCCTCTTGGGATAATATCCAGAGATAAAACCTGGAACCTCACTCATTCCATAGATCGCATGTCATGCCAGAAGGCCATGGAAACCCCTTCACTTCTGATCAACACAATGAAGACTGTGGAGGATAGGGAGAGATAAGATTTTTCTCAGAATCACATTGGAAGCAGCAAAGGGAGAGGCTGGCAGGGAAGAAAGCTCAGAGCTCCAGTGTTGTAAATATTTACCTCATCGGGGGTTTCCTGTTTCTTTAGCCCAGCACACTTCGTAATGATGAGCTCATGGCATCGCTTGTGGACCACGCAAGTGCAGACTGCAAAGGGCAAAACAATGGGAAAGCTGAGTGACAAGTGGAGGGAGAAAGTTTCCAAGATCTGATCAGGTCTTGGTGGAGACCCCAGAGGAGCCTTAATGTAATACCCTAAATTAGCATCCCCAAAACCCTTTGCCACCAGAACCCAAGGGAAAAGAAATATTGATGTCTACAGGCGTTGCAATGTCCTCTGAGAAAACCAAAAAGCTTTCCTGCTGTGGCATCTGCCAGGATGGGCCATCCCACGGAGACTTCTCTATTGAAGGCGTTGTGTGGTATCCCATACTAAGAATCGTGCCAGGGTGGTGGATGTGAGCGAGAACTGCAGCAGTGGCACAGACACTCTAAGACTTTTGGAAACATCTGGTTGTGCCACCACATGCAAAACTTTTAACAATGCTGTTGAATTCAATATGGACAACAAGACATGGCCATTAGTTCTATCTGGAGGGCCATGGGAAATGTGGCCAGAGGTGGTTGAAGGGGTAACTCTGTTTTGCTCATGTACATCACCAGAGACACAGTGACCTCTAACAGACCATCACAGGTTCCCTCGAAGGAAAGGCCCAACTTAGAGGGTGTTGGTCAGAAGATTGAGGTGACTCCTCACCCCCAAGAAAGCCTAAATATGGCCATATTAAAATTTTACCCTCCAGTTCTGTATAATCTAACCTTGCATTGTAGCCAAACAACTTGAAATACCTTCAAGTGAGCTTTAAATTTTTAAGAGTTAATGATTCCATAGTAGAGGTTAAACAAAACAAAACAAAAGGACCACTTAGTGACCCTGACCAAAACAAGCAAGCAAGGGATCTCCTTTAAGAAGTATGAGAGAGGAGGAAGATGACCCAACACAGGGCCCCAAGGAAGCTCTAACTAAAGTGTCATGCCTCACTAGGAACATGGAAGTGCTACCTGCTACCACTGCCGCAAAAACGCTGTGTGTGTGTGTGTGTGTGTGTGTGTGTGTGTGTGTGTGTGTGCGTGTGTTTCTGTGGGCTTTGCTGGGACACAGGGAGGTAGAGGGTAGCTACTAGATATCCCACATATGCACACATGGGAATAATGGCTGGGCAGGGACAAAGCAAGCAGGGTACCACTTCTTGCATGTAAAGCACACAGAACCTATAGGTGTCATCCAACATAGCCCACACTTCCCACAAGCAATCATGATTTGAACCTTTGTGTGGTCCTCTAAAGACTTAATTCACTAAATATCTCTTACCTTGACATTGGTATCCCTGTTTTCCTATGACACCCCTGAAAAAAAGAACACAATCCTTTAAGGCAATAAAACTTTACTAAATACACACACACACACACACACACACACACACACACACACACACACATTCTGGCCACTACCCACGTTGTGCTGGGAACTAAAGAGTCTGCTGAACAATGTGACTTACTGCCACTTGCAACGTAACTTCACGTATCCCCATAGGCCACAGAGTATGGCCTGAACTTGGAGCAGATGCATGGTCTGGCCAGCACTGGGGTTTGGTTTCATGTACAGCTAGATAGTCATGCCAATGAAGGCAGTGATCTGTCAAGCTATAAATGGCCTTGCCTACTCTGATCAGGCCTTGGGCAGGTCAATATCTATCTCCACCTAGATAAAATGAGCATTCTTCATCTCCCAGCACCAGAACATACTCTTGAGGGTGTTCTGATGGTAGAGAAGACTTAGGCTGAAAGCATATACCCTGAGCATCCCAGAGACTACCTAAGGCTACAGGTAGTCTATATTCAGGACAAAGGCTTCAATCCATTTTGGGGAACAGGCAATATCAGAGTTCTTTCCATGGTTACAGTGAATTATCTGGAGGGAAACAGACCAACCTTGTCCTCAGTGTATTGGTCAATTCAAGTGACCCTTAGGGAGGTTCATACTGATACTTGGCCTCACTCGCTTTCCCCTGTTGGCTCCAAGACTGTATCAATCCTATTGTACTTCAGTGCCCAGTCCAACAGGAAGGCCTGGAGTCATTGCAGCCACACCCCAGAACCTACAGTGAGAGAGTGTTCCCTCATGGGATAGAAGAGATTCAGACTGTACAATCAACTCCTTAATTCATGACCAAAACATAGTTTTGGAAGAGAGATGGAATGAGAAGTACCAATGGCTGGAAGTAAGGTTTTTCTGCCTCTGTTAGGTTTTCCCTGATCTGTATCACTTCAGATATCCATGCCAACCTTAGCACTTTGTTTTTGTAGCACCTAGGACAAGCAACTCCTAGATACCGCAGGAATCCAGCGGTCCTTGGTGCTCTTGCTCTGGCTGGGTTCAGACCAAAACATGGCCTTACTAGCTCTCCCAGTTAAAAACCAAGTGTGTCGACCATTGTCTACATCAGACCCAAGGAGCTCAGACTAATTGCCAGAAAGGCTGGTCGGATGTCAGGAAAATCATAAGCTTTACAGCAGGCTAACCTGGGGTAAAATTGTGTCTCTGCCATTTCCCAGCAAGAGGATACCAGATTAGTTCCTCTGTTATTTCATTCAGCAAAGCTGAATGTCAGCCCTGTTAGTAAAACATGGTTAATAGTACATAATACAGTGGGAAGATTTAATTAGACACTTTTTGTGCCTAAGACAGGACCCAGCATGATATTCATTAAAATCCTTCCTCCAACTCCAGCACCTGTGTCTGTATTCTCCTCCATCACACAAAAGGCCTATGACCTCATTCTACCAAAATTCCAATCATCATGGAAAGAGAAATGGCATCCCTCCAGGTAGACTTCCTATCCACGCCAGGTGTGGCTGCTGTTTGGGACCTCATTTGGCCATAGCATAGTTAGAACATTTACTGAGAACTTCTGTGTCACAGACACTAGAAAATAGGTTCATTTTTTTCTTTTTACTTCATTATGGTACATATTAGAGTGGCAAATATAATGAGCCCTTTGTACCCAACACAAAGCTTCAACCTTCATCATATGGCCTATATCTATTTCATCCCTACCCAGAGCATTCTCTTCTTTTAGGATTATAAATAAATCTCATAAATTATAATAAATCTCATACATCAAAGTTCATGGCAAATAATTTAGCTTGTATCTTTAAAAGGATTCCATTTTTTAAAAATACCATCACCATGTCATTATTAGTTCTAAAGTCTGAACTATGTAAATATGATATGAAGTATCAAGTCACCAGGAATCAGCACCATATATGTAACACAAAAAAAAACCTCAAAAAAAACTCTTCAGTAATTGGAAATAAAACACATCAGTGCCACTTGCTTTTATTTATATTTTTAATTTTCTTTTTGTTCTGTACTGAAGCTTGAATTCAGGCCTTGAGTACTGTACCTTAGGTTTTTGGTTGTTGTTGTTGTTGTTGTTTTCTCTAGTACTCTATCGCTTGAGCCACAACCCCACTTCTAGATCTTTGGTGGGTAATTGGAGGTAAGAGTCTCAGACTTGCCTGCCCAGGTTGGATTCAAACTATAATCATCAGATCTCAGCCTCCTGAGTAGGTAGGATTGTAGACATGAGCCAACTTGCTACTTGCATTTTCCCCCCAAAATACACAGTGAAATTCATTTTTTCTGAAACCAATTCCAGTGAAAGTTTGAGATCTGAGAAACCTATAACCTATTTAATTAAACCTATACAACATATTTGAACCTTAAGTCTTCTATCACCTATTTAATTAAAGGAAACTTTTACTGTCATTATCAAATTCTTCAAGGCTTTATGTCAGCTTTGTATTGTGCTGGGATTCAAGGAAGGTAATATTCTTTCTTTACTGAGTCCTAACTATCTCTTAACCTTGAAACTTAGAGTTCTAAAATGATGTGAAAATTATACTATGGAGCCATCCTCCAAAGATCGTACTCAATATACAGCACACTTAGACTTTTATTAGAGAAATCCTTCCATCATTTCAAATTAAAATACAATGATTGTGTCTAGGAGAAAATAATTTCTTCATCCATTATTAACTTTTATGAGAAATCTTCCTCTTTTATTGAAAGCAACATTTTTTTTTTGGGTCCGGTCTTGGGGCCTGAACTCTGGGCCTGGGCGCTGTCCCTCAGCTCTTCAGCTCAAGGCTAGCGCTCTACCACTTGAGCCACAGCGCCACTTCCGGCTTTTTTGTTTTTGCTTATGTGGTGCTGAGGAATCGAACCCAGGGCCTCATGCATGCAAGCCAAGCGCTCTACCACTGAGCCACCTTCCTAGCCCTGAAATCAACATTTTTAAATGAAATTTATCATCTCCAACTCCATCCCTGCTTTCTCCCCCCGTCCCAGCTAGAGGTCATCCATTTAGTCCCCTCGTCATTTCTGACATTTGTGACATTCTAGACGTGGTTCCCAGAAGGAGGAGCTTACCAGATGAAATCTCTGCAGTGCGAGCAGTAGGTAGGTTGCCGAAGATAGGTGGCCATGAACTTGTGGCCATTGACCTGGTGAACTCTGCGCCTGACAGCTCCCTGCCGCTTCCTGGGGCGCATACGCTCCCTGAACACACGTTCTTCATTGTCTTTAGGGGCTGGAGAGAAGAAAACAGTATGGGTTACTTCAGCTTAACAATCCCCTCTTGCTGAAGGAATACCCTACCCCTTGATAAGCAGAGGTAGGCAGGGTGAGGGGCCAGCCTTCATGCTTCTGGAGGGTTCAGACAGAAGCACTGCTTCTGCATTCAGACCCAGAATGCAGTTCTTCCTACTTTGTCCCATCTGTGTCCTTAGAGCCTTCCATTTGGATTCTGCTCCCAGTTCAGCTCTCCCTGGCCCCCACCCTCACCCTCCAAAGCCTAAGGGTCAAAAGACTGAAGGTTCAAATCTTAGCACAACTTAGTACAACCATGGACACCTCACTCAGGAACCTGGGGCTATATTGCTGACCACGTGAACAGTAGAAAGGAGTCCATGCTGTGAGTACTTGCTCACCTGATGCCTAACTCAGAAGTAGCTGCCTAAAACTAAAACCCTCCACTTCTTCCCTCTCCCTCATACTCAGACTGGAAACAATCAATTCTTCTTCCAAGGCCAAAAAGAGAAGGCAATGTAGCACCATAAAAGCAGATAGCTTCCCAAAGGTTCAAGACCTACCACCACAGTTGAGATCAAAAGACCTTATTTTTTTCTCCCCTCCACTGTGAGAATGCACTAAGCCTAAGCACTTCTTGCAAGAGGAAATAATAGATGATCATGAAAATACTGATGATGATGATGAATATCAACTAATTACCCATGCCACCCTCTCTCAGGTGCTATGCTAAGCCCCAGTGTGATCATATTTGGAAATGGACCTTTCAGGTGGCCATTAGATGGGGTCATGAGGGTATACTCTTGCCTCCTACCCATGATAGCCTACAAGTCCCTAGAAGAGGAAGACACATGAATATGCTTTCTGTCAGGAGCACATGGTGGTAGAAAGAGGCGGGGCTGGGAAGGTGGCTCAGGGGTAGAGTGCTTGCCTTGCATGCCTGAGGCCCTGGGTTTGATTCCTCAGCACCACAAGCAGAAAAAGCCAGAAGTGGTGCTGTGGCTCAAGTGGTAGAGCACTAGCCTTGAGCTGAAGAGCTGAGGGACAGTGCCCAGGCCCAGAGATCAGGCCCCGTAACCAACAACAACAACAAAAAAAGAGGATCCTCACCAGACCCCCGCCATATTGGTTCCTGGAGCTCAGGCTTCCAGGTTCTCAAACCGTGAGAAATAGTGAGTGTTCAGTCTATGATATCTTTTAATGGCTGCCTCAGCTAAGAAGACAGTGGCAATGGCCAACAGGCTGCAAGAGCATACTACAAGTAGTATGTATAGTAGCTCACAGAATCCTTACCACAAAACTATGTGAAGGGCACTATGACCCATTTAACAAGTAGGTAAATAAGGGATGGAGAGTACAAGTAATGGGCTCCTGTTAACACAACTATTAAGTGGTAGCACCCAGACTGGAGCTCAGAGAATAGGGGAGTAGCCCAATGTTCCACTTCCTCCTGCTCTGAGGAACAACTTGAACTCCCTAGGAAACCCAAAGCTCTCAGCCAAATGGCTCTCAATATGGGAAGAGTGGAGCTGCTTATGGCTTCCCTGAGGACAAAATGGACAAGCTCACCTTGCCAGTGTCCTCCTAGGATCTGCACTGCTCAGGTAAGAACATACCAGAAAGGGTCTGTGTCCCCTAACACTTCGTGCATGAGCCATGCCTGACTTCCTACTCAAGTAGTGTGAGCCTCAGGGAAGAAGCTACTTTCCCAAGAATCTCCTTCAGTGGAGGGTCACATGCATGGCCCAAACAGCTGCTTAATCCAGGGATAGCATGTTTGCTCAGTGAAGCAGCAGGGAGAAAACCCTAAACTGAAGGAGGTAAAAGGTGACACTGGGGACCAACCAAATCACCAGGTCTATACAGCGAGCAGCAGCCTCCAGGTGAAGAGGTGGTCATTGATTGTGCCCTAGTCTTCCAACACAGTTTAGATGACCCAGGGAAGGCATTTACTTTCTGGCCTCCAGCCCGTCTGGATTTCCTTTGCCCTACTCCTCTTTTGTTCAGTGGTAGGAAGGGAACTCAGGGCCTTGTAGTTCCTAGGCAAGCTGTGTACGTCTATGCTACCACCCGCTCCTTGCAAGACACTCTGTTTCCTTTTTAGTGGTGGTGGTTGTTTCAAAAAGTCTCTGTCATCGACTATTTTCTGGGTTTAGAGAATATAATACCCTCCACTTTTGGGGCCTTGTTCACTGACCTACTTCACACACACACACACACACACACACACACACACACACACACACACGAATCACAGCAACCATTACGTTATGTATACAATTATTGGTGCTTCTGATGTTCCCTTTCTACTTTTGCTATATTTAGAAAGACCCATTTTTACAAGTAATAAAATAAAAATGATCATTAAAAATCAGATCTATTTAGTGGTTATACAAAACTGATCTACAAAAATCTAATGCCCAAACTCTAGTCCTTGGCATTATAGGCCAGGAGATAGCAATGCTTTTGTTAGAACCATCTTTCCCTTCTTTCTAAAAATTCCACATAGAATATATTTCTGCAGCAAGTCAGCTCCTAATGCATTTAAAATGCCATCTGATTTACAAATTTACTAGTCGTTTGCATCCTGCAAATCTCTATTTTCAGTTTAAATGGTACGAAGACCAATCTAATTTTCTCAAAGGAATGTTACCATAATTGTGAATTGAGTCCTCCCGGAGAGCCTCATTGCTCAGCTTTTTACCGAAACGACCAGCCATGAAATGTTCTCGATTGTATTTACACTGAATTAATAGGGCAATGTGGCAACCAATGCATTCAACTGCGTTTATTTTTAATGACATCTTGGAGGGATGGTGGACACCTGGAGGGTTTAAAGTTGTAGGGGCTGGTGGGGGAAGGCAGCTCTTCACGCAGGCTAGGCAGTGAGGCAAAGGGGGAGCGTTCTCTTATAAGTGGGGATCTGAGTGAAACTTCCCTAAAGGTTTTTATTACTCCTATCCCATAGCACATGTGCCTTGCCTTTTTAAGTCAGATTTTATGTTCAAGATAGGGAAACAGAAGTGAAAGAAACAGAAGGACACAGGGCAACTTATTGCTCTGAACGAGACCACTGTGAGAAGCTACCTACAGGAAATAGGACTAGAGCCCATAACTGGTGAAACATCACTGTTCTCCATTTCTCAAGGCATGGAAGCCAAGAACCTGGCCACAGAATCCTCATCCCTGTCACCCACAGGCAGGGAAGGAAATGGTCTATATCCTACAAAAGAAAAGTCACCAGGTTCCGTGCTTTCTCTTCCCCAGAACCTGCCTGCTGGGGTGCAAAATTTTCCACCAGAAACGGATCTCTCCAGCATTTTCCCTTGCTGTGAAAGTTCCCTTTGGAAATGCAGCTCCCATGGGGTTGGGAAGGTGGCTCAGTGGTAGAGCGCTTGCCTTGCATGCCTGAGGCCCTGGGTTCGATTCCTCAGCACCACATAAGCAAAAAGAAAAAAGCCAGAAGTGGCGCTGTGGCTCAAGTGGTAGAGCGCTAGCCTTGAGCTGAAGAGCTGAGGGACAGCGCCCAGGCCCAGAGTTCAGGTCCCACGACCAGACCCCCCCCAAAAAAAGTTACTGGAAATGCAGCTCCCACAAATATGTGGACTTACCTGTGCTCTCTATTAATCTATGCACCTGTTTTCATGACAGGACTATCTAGTTTTAAGCACTGAAGAGTTCTAATGTATTTTGAAATCTGGCTTTGTGCTTCTTCTCAGAATTGCTTTGGCTATTTAGTCTTTTGTGGCTCCAAAGGAATTTTAGATTTTTTTGTTTCTGTAAACTAATGCCATTGGATTTTGATAGGGATTCCATTAAATTTGTAGGTCAAAAGTATGGACTTATTGTGTGTGTATATCAATACTAAGGCTTGAACTCAGGGCCTGGGAACTGCCTTAGCTTTTTCACTCAAGGCAAGTACTCTACCACTTAAACCACAACTCCACTTGTAAGTTTTTGTTGGTTGATTGGAGATAAGAGTGGACTTTTGGCTTCAAACCATAATCCTCAAATCTTGGTGTTCTGAATAGCTAAGATTACAGGTAAGTGCCTAGCTATGGATATTTTAACAATAACCAAAAAGAGTCAATGTGTCTTCAACAAGGATGCCAAGAACTTACAATGGGGAAAGGGTAGTCTCTTCAAAAAATAGCATTGGGAAAACTGGATATTCAAATGCAACAGCGTGAAATAGGACATCTTTCTTCTACCATATGACTCCAAATAGATTAAACATTTAAAGTAGGTCCTACAACTATAGAATGCCTAGAAAACCCAGGAGAAAAGTTTTATGGTATTGGTCTTGGCAATAATTTATTGGGTATGAGCCAAAAAGCTTACAAAAACTGGACAACCAGAGCATTATCAAACCCAATCTCTTTTTCCCCAGCAGAAGAAACCATCAACAGAATGAAAAGGTGGAATGGAAAAAATCATCACAAACTACACATCTGATTAATTGTTCATATCCAAAATGTATGATGAGCTTCTACAATGCCCCAGCATAATCAAATAAGCCCAGCTTAAAAGCAGGCAGAAGAATGAGTGGACATGTCTCCAATGAAGACATATAATTGATCAGCAGTTTTATGATAACTTTTCTAGCATCATTAATTCCCAGGGTAATGCATGTTAAAATGACAGTATCAGTTTAGATGTATTAGGCTGAGGACTATATAATAAAGCAAAGGGCAAGTTTTGGCAAGGATGGAAAGAAAAGTGAATCCTTTTACATGGTGGGTGGAACTGTAAATTGGCATGACCACTATGGAAAACAGCAGGAGATTCCCTCAAAAAATTAAAACTACAACTATAATACGATCTAGTATCCCATCCCCACTCCTAGGTATACATCCAAAAAAACTGAGGTCAGGATTTTGAAGTTAATCTCCACTCCCATGTTTACTGCAGTATTATTCATATGAGCTAAGACATAAAAACAACTAAGTGTTCATGGATCAATGAACTGAGGAGGAGGAATGTCGTACATACATAGAGAGT